CATAAAAGCCTTTCGCAGAAATCTGTGTAAACTTATAAGGTCAGAAATCTGTGTAAACTTTATAAAGTGTAAACTTTATAAGGTCATAAAAGCCTTTCGCAGAAATCTGCGAAAATTCGCAGAACTCTGCGTTTACAGAGTTCTGCGAATCAGTAAACACAGACAGTGACGAATCCAGGAATGTTTGTTTTATTTTTGTTTTCATTTTATTTATTTTTTTAGGGTAGGGGGGTAGGGGATGACAAAATATTTTTGTATTTCGTATTTCACATTTGACCCCATCCTCTCCTCCTGAATTCGTCACTAAACGCATATTGTGTTTGGAATTTTCAAAAGATTTTGAGAATTCTTTACTAATTAAAAAAAGATGTAAAAGTTCATCAATGGTGACCGGCTTACGAAAATAAACTCATTTCCTTGATACTATTTTTCCTTGATACTTAACTTATGTTACATCACTTACGATACCAAGCGATTATTATCGTAAATTTTTTTTTATATATTGTTAAGAGTTGCGTAACAAAAGAAACGCAAAAGACTTTGGCTCAATACTTAGTATTGAACTTATTATTTAAAAGTAATTCGTCACGATAATTTCACAATTGCCTCATTCATTTTTTCATGATATAAGAAATTTAAAAAAAAAGATAAAAGAAATAAAAAAAAATCGCTTTTTTTTTTTTACTATTTTATTTATATAAAATTATATATATATATATATATATATATATATATATATATATATATATATATATATATATATATATATATATATATATATATATATATATATATATATATATATATATATATATAAGGTAACATTGTTCGATGATGATACCATTTATTCTTGTTTTGATAAAACGCAAATACTCTCTGATTGTTTGAAGGAACATTTGAGATTAAAAAGAATCTTACTACTGCTACAGCATGTGGCTCTCAGTCACTAGTGAGCTTGAAATTAGATAAAACGCTAATCGTTATCGCAATGATTTAGCTCTTCCTGTATTTTTGAACGCTAATGTACTCAATGAGTCATCTATCCTGCATCTTCTAGGATAAAGGATATATCTTCATCTTCTACTCTTACTTCCGATCTTACTTGGACACCATATATTAAAGCCATTGCAAAATGAACATCTGCTAAGGTTGCACCACTTTATTGTGTTCGTTACTTTCTTATTCCCAATTTTATTCTTTATCTCTATAAACCTCAAATCAGTCCATGTATCTGGGGCGGATCTTCCAATGATGCCCTTTCTCTTTTAGACAAGGTACAGAAGCACATTGTAAACATAATTGGACTTGCTATTGCAGCCAACCTCTAACCATTATCACATCGTCATTATGTTGCTTCTCTTTCTTTTTTCCTTTTCTAGCTTTTCCCTCGAACATCAGTTTTTTTTAATTCGCCCCCTTCATCTTGTTTTCCTGATTCATATAATTTGGAATCTTTGAAGTCGTCTGTCAATTATTATCTTGCTCTATAAACTTCATCCTTTTTCTTCCATAACTTCCAACTATAATTGTGGTTGCTTCCATCCTTGTTAGAAATGAAGATGTTGAAAAAAAATCCTTAAAATCTTATTATTTAGGGATTAGTATGATTTAATTTAAAATTGATTTGTCAAAAAAGTAAATTACATTGTATTTTATAGTTTTGTTACATTAGTAAAAAGCTGTTAACAATAATTTAAAAATTTTTTTGGCGTAACCAAGGCCGAATGGAAAAAACATTTTGCTAACCAGAAACAATCTTTAAAACACAAAAAATACTCAAAAGAGACTTTGTTGTCAAAATATATATGGCGACTAAAAAAAATTTAAAATTAAACAGGTTTTTTCTAAATATTTTCGTGCCTATAATAACATTTCTAAAAAATGTGTACTATGTTTACAAGAAAATTTTGAAAATATTACTTATTTTGATCTAGAAAATTGACCAAACAAAAAATCTGATTTAACTTCTAAATTAAGACCTGAAAATTATTACCTTTTAAAAAATTGTAAAAGCAATTTTTTAAAAGGTAAACTAAAATTATTCTAGTTCTAGGAATTCTTTTCATAATTAACTTTTTAATTTCAATGATGATTAATATCAACATTAAAATGTTGTTGATGCAATTTCCTCGTTGCAAAATTTGCAGAGTTATATATATTTATTATAGATTATTTATAACTGTTTACAAGTTCCTGTAAAATATTTGTGCGGGTGAACCAATTTTACCGACTAGAGTCGGTAAAATTGGTTCAATAGTTGTCAGTCAGCATCTTCTCTTGACGGTTGGTCTGGATGGTCAAGATCTTCTTGGACGGTCCTGTATATATAAGTTTTTTTTTTTTTTTGTTCTTTATTACATTTTCAAACCTTACGTTGATATTTCATAAAATTTACAAGCTAAAATATAACGATACAAACAATTACAAGTAAAGATTTTTAATATATATATATATATATATATATATATATATATATATATATATATATATATATATATATATATATATATATATATATATATATATATAAATATATATATATATATATATACATATATATATATATATATATATATATATATATATATATATATATATATATATATATATATATATATATATATATATATATTATATGCCGAACCAAAAAGAGAAAAGTGTTGTCTCTTTTGATATTGATCTACCAATAAAAAAACGTGAAAATAAAATATCTATATATGCAGCCACTGAAGCAGTTCATATAAAACTATAGCAGGCAAAAATAAAAAAAATAAAAAAACACGAAAAAGAAAATAGCAAACAAGGTAACAATAAAAATAAAAGCGATAACTAACCGGACGTTTCTGTAATAATTATTTTCAAAAGAAATGCCTAACAACCGACACCACTAAAGGAAGATCCAAATAAGCTATCGAGACAAAGAGAAACATAAATTTTTTTTATTTTTATACTTTTTTGTTATTTTTTTTTAATATTTTATAAACCAGCTTGTTTTTATAAATGAAGTTAGACGCCATCTATTTTTGAACACTTTTTCCATTAATTCCCACATTTTGTGTATTAATTCCCACATTTTCCACATTGTATAAGTTTGACTTTTTTTATATATACAAATAAGGAAACTTTAATTCGTTTTATTGTTGGATAATGTTGGCTATCTTATCGACCTCAAAATCTCTAAAACTTTTTAATTACAAACACAATTTATATTCATATATTAAAACCAACGAAATTACTAATCTGGTTTTGCAAATGAAGAACCAGTTTTAAAGTAGAAATTGATATAAATAAATACTAAAAGTTATAACAAAGTCAATCAAAAAGTCATCTTATTCTTTCATATCTTAGTACAAAAAAAAAATATATATATATATATATATATATATATATATATATATATATATATATATATATATATATATATATATATATATATATATATATATATATATATATATATATATAATATATAAAATATATATAAAATTAGTAGTTATTAACACAAAGTATATCAACTTTGTGATAAACTTTGAGATAATAACTTTTTATATATAGTTGTAATAATATAATTATATTAATATCACACTATAGATTTATAAAGCCGTTTACATCGCGTGACAAGCCTTGTATAAATTGACGCGTTTGAATTGTATCGATTGAACTGTTTCGCGTGAGAAGTCTTGTTGATTGAATTGCTTGTTATGATTTAAAAAAAAAATATTACACTCAAAGTAATTTTTTAAATAGTAAATCAGAAGATTACAAGTTTATTTTATACTATAGTTTTGAACTTTTTAATAAATTAAGGTTTTGCCCACCACCTGCCACCCACCACCTGCCTAATTTTTTTTTGCATCAAGTAGGTATTGCAATTTTTTTTTGTCAGTTTAAAGATTGAGGAACTTTTTTATTATTTATGTCAACAATTTTTTGTAAATTTTTATCTCCCTCTTTTTTGTCAACCTCAAACTTCCCTCCCTCTTTTTTGTCAACCTCAAACTTCCCTCCCTCTTTTTTGTCAACCTCAAACTTCCACAGACCTTTCCCCCTAAAAAAAAATACGTCAATATTTAATAATTCTTCCTTTCCCCCCCTCCCCTCCTTCCTGTTCCATAAGTTATTATTTTAAATAAATTCGATTACTAAAAAGAAGGAGGGAGGAAGGGGGAAGGTTGTAAAAAAGTTAAGGTGAGTTTCCATTCATCCGTTTTTCTACGGGAACGGGATAGGAAAGGAAAAAATAAAATCACGTGGGCATGCGTAGTATAAGTTTTAATTTGTCTGAAGGAAAATTACGCATCCTCACGTGATTATTTTTCTCTTTCCTATCCCATTCAAGTAGAAAAACGGATGAGTGGAAACTCACCTTTACAGGTAACTTCTTTTTGACCTTCCTTCCTCCCCCTCCTCTTGTCAATAAGTAATTGTTGAGTTAAGAATTCTATTTCTTGTTATGTAAACTTTCTTCAGTAAAGATTAACATTTATCAGCGTCTTCTAAAAATGTTGTATTTTTCAAATGGATTCCAGGTATTAGCTCAAAGTTAAGAAGAGTTTTCATAAGAGCAGGGTTTTCTTATCAGTTATTAAAGTGAATAAAAAAATAATAAAAAAAAGTACATCAATATTCAACAACTACATTCTGCAACTTTATTTTATTTTACTAAATAAAAACATGCAATGCATTTCATCAAAATAAAACCCAAAATTATAAAAAATTTTATGAATAAACAGTAAACATTCAAAATTATATCAGTTTTCCATATGGCTTATCGATGCACACTAGAATGCACATTCTGCATTGTGGTTTGTATTGATTTTTTTTATTCAACTATGAATAATGCATACCCTGTCCCATATATAAAAGTTTATATATATGTATATATTTATTTTTATTTAAATGAAACAATAAATAAATTATAAAAGCATAAATTTTAAGTATTTTAGGTATAAATAATGTAGATTTTTATTTATTATAGTTATACTAAAGCTTCATAAAAAGAAACTTTTTGTTTTTCAGTTCTACTGTTTTGTTGGATGATTTTGCATAAAGTAAGTATACGTTTTTTTTTTTTTTTTTGCTATTTAAAATAATAAACCTAATATTTACAGCTTAATCAAGTGTGGTACCATTTATAACTGAAAATAGTTATAAATTATAAGTTTCTTTAAATTTCAATTTTGCAAGTTTTAAATTAGTTTTATGGCTGAATCCAAAGAAACGTAATAAGAAATCATATTTTATTTAGTCATTTTTCAATGTTTTGATTTTGCTTCAAAACTAAAACAAAGGAATTATTCATATTGTTTGTGACTACAAAAAAATGACAATAAATTTTTGGAAGCTGCTTGCATTAGTTAAATTTAGTGTCTCATGTTAAAAAGACTAATGACCGTTTTTAAAAAACTAGCACTTTTTTTATGACGAAGTAAGATGGCGATCATTAAACGTGCAACTTAAACTTCAATACTACTAAACATTTCTATTATATTTACATTTTAATTTAATACAAAAATAAATATCAAGGTGGCTCCTTTACAGCGTTAATAAAAAAAGTTTATAAATATACATTCGTTTTTAAACTATTTGAAAATTTTTTTTTTTTCTAGTTTCAAGTTTAAATTTTGGCACCGTTAATTAAATTCCAGATCGTTTCTCAATTCTAAATATCACTAATTTTAACCATTAAGATATTACTAAATCTTTATTCTAGTTTATTCTATTATGCAGCCGTGGCGCAGTGGTTAGAGTTCTGAGCAAGGCCGGCGCGATAGGGGTGTGTGGGGGGTGTGACACCCCCCCCCCCATCAATGATTTTTAGTCGGCAAACTGGACCCTTAGTCGGCAAATCGGACCCTTTTAGACTAGTTAGTCGGCAAATGTGGCCCCTTTCGACATAGGTTAGACAGTCGGCAAATGTCGTAATGACAGTCGGCAAATTTTGGAAAACACCCCCCCCCCCACGTGACACCTACTCGCGCCGGCCCTGGTTCTGAGAACCCAGAGGTCCGAGGTTCGACGCCAGCTCAAGCCCAATAAGTGACATTGGTACGGAAGGAGGCGTAAACTTCCTGTTAAATGCTCTCCCGTGGTGCTCTGTAATAAGACCGTTAGGATTTCTGGGAGCACCTAAATAACTACAAAAAAAAATCAAGTCATCAAGTTACCATCATTTGTTTGGTGGTTGGGGCGAGCAGATAACAAAATCTGAAAAAAAGAAAAGTTATGCAAACATAACTTCTATTGTAATAAAACTTCAATTGTAATAATTGGTATATATATGTAAACATAAAATAATATAAACTATTGTGCAAATATAGCTGTATATATGTATGTATACATACATATTTCCGCTCTTTTGATGATGAATAATGTTATTGTAGTTGAGGATCAACGACAATAGTTATATGAATTATGGTATTTTGGTTGCGGATCAACTTTGTTCTTTTGTTCTTCAACATTGCTGACATATTTGTCAGGTAAATCATTTTTAAGCTATAATTCATTTCAATATCAAAATGGGGAAACCTAACCTAAAATAATTTTTTATTAGTTCAGGTTACAGCTATTTTTAATTGTTAATAATTTTCGTTTTTCAAAAACCACTATCCTGTATGTTGATACTACAATTCGGGTGGTTCCTGCCATCTTCTATGGTGGTCAGCTGTTCAATATTTCACTGGAGTTCGAAACAATAATCCTGCTTGTTCTGCATGACTTAATAACTGGACGAAAAGAAGTTCTCTACCTACGTGTTTTTAAAAAACTTCATGAACTTTCTACAACTTTAGTGCCACAGATTGTGATGACTGGTTATAAAACTGCAATCGAAAACTCTGCCAAAGCTGTTTTTTCAAAAATAAGAGTAACGGCTGCAGATTTTATTATGCCCAGGCAATTCTCAAAAAGATTAAGACCATTGGTCTGCAAGTGGAATACAACAGGATTAATGACCGATCATCAGAAAATAGTGTCGTAAGTTTATTTCCATGTGCTTGCTACCATCCAATTTAGTAAGGCTTGAAGTTGACAAACTAGGGTAAGGTAACTAAGCGCTTCTTGGATGAGCTTCAACATAATGTAAGTCTTTATATAATAACATTTTTGTGCTCTGATCCAATAGATGCAGCAGAGATTCAATTCTGTACAAATTTAAAATGGGAACTTTATATTTTGCATGCACATTACCTACAGGCACCTGCTTATGTTAGCATTAATAAATTATATTTGTAGCATGGAACAAATTTTTTACTTTATTCCATGCTACTATGTAATTATTTAACCAATAAAATAGTACAGATACAATGCAATCAATCAAAAAATACTATCTTTAAAATATCAATTTTAAATAGATCGTCTATCCAATGGAAGTTAAGATGTTCCAGATCCAAAATAGTTCCCAACCTAGAAAAGAACTGCGTCAAGATCGTCAAAGGCAGCATGAGCATCTTTGTGGATATGAAGAAAAGTTTGTAAGTGGTGAATGGGCCGCAACCAAACTTCTTTGCTGCATCATTTTTCTTTAATAACATGAAAATGTCAAGCTTGTTGTTGCTGTTGACAGGTGGCGAACTCTCTTTGTTAGGACAGTGACAAGGAATTCTTAGTTAGATGTTTTATATTTATACCTTTTTTTTAGGATCAAACTGTTGGTGAAGAATCTCAATCAAATGGACCAATTGGAAATGTCTGCAAAGTTTGCCTTCTCAATAATCTTCAAGTTGTTGCTTTCCCTTGCCGCCATCTTTGCCTATGCCAGTGATGTGCTGAAGTCAGTAATAGTGCTACTAACCACTGTCCAGTATGCAGAGAACCAACAGCAAGTTTTATAAATGTGCTTATATAATGTGCTATTTAATGTGCTATTTAATATACTATTGCATACATTAAAATTTTAATTTATTTAACTGATTTGATTTTAGAAGATTCTGTTCCTGGTTCTATATTATTCAAATGAAACAAGTTTTAATAACTTAATTAAAAAAATTTGATCCTAAAAAATTTGATTGTAAATGGTTCTATTCTTAAAAGGAAGTTCAAATTCGATTCTAAATAGCTTCGATCAATAAAAAATTCGATTGTCTCCTTCTATTCTATTTAAGTTCTATTACAGTATATGACGCTTCTTCACTAAAGGAAGTTATGATGCATTATAAGATCAAAGAATATATTTTTCAAGTACATATGAATTAACAACAGTTACAAATATCTCTAGTTTTGATATTAAGTTAAGTTAAGCCATGATCACGAAGAGGAGGATACTCTTTTTGTGCTCCATGCTATTGCAAAATGAATCTGTTTTCAGAACACTATATTTTCTCCCCAGATACAGAAGTACTTTTGTCGCTAATATTTTACCTGAATATTTACCTGTTACAAAATACCTACAAACTGTAAAAGCATCATAAGAACGCAACATCAGTCTCACGAATTGTTTTGAGGCACTCTGTTCAAAACGTTCAAAAGTTTTACTGGGTTTCCATGTATTAACAGGATGTGACTAAAACGGCAGCTTCTATGGAAAAGTTATTCATGGTTGCGGATGACAAGATTCTGTATGCATGTCAATGTTTGGCAATACTGAGTCATTGCCAAATCAGGTTATTATTTAAAGTATTATGCGTTTTGCCGTTAATACATATGGATGAAAAAATAAGTCCAATAACATATTAACCTTGGCAATGCAATGGTTTCTTTTCTCAAAGTATCATCGAGATGCCGTGCAATTACCAGCTACCATAAGCGCTCAAAAATACAAACTATTTAGACCTCATTTTGTATGTCTAGTGTTAAGAAGATCTCACAAATTTTTACAAAATCTTACTTCTCCTGAAAGCTTTGGTTGGGAGATCAATGGTAAATCATTTGATCAAATCTTAGCAGATTATCTTCCTGCTCCATTGGGTTTTATTGAGTGTTTGAGGATGTAGTAGTGATTGCAGTACAAAGAGATGCAAGTGTTATAAAAATAACTTTGCCTATACAGATATGTGCAAATAAACAGAGTGCGTAAACACCAATATTCACAAATGAAATGACTAAGAGCTAGAGATAGAATCTGATACACCCAGTACAGAATACTAGTATTAGTCTTCTATGCCGTCTTCTATATAATATTAGTCTTCTATAATCGAATAAAATTTGATATATATAAACTTATAAATATATATTTATATTTATAAGCTTACAGTTGTCAAATTTTATTAGTTTTACTTTTCACTAATAGGGCGTTGTGGTATTTAAATGATCATTTTATTAAAAAAATATAGTTTTATCTATACCTAATAAATCGCAAAAATGTTTAAATGTTTTTTGTTTTACAAGACGAAATCTTTTAAACAACATTTTGAATGAATAGGGAGAATATGGCTTTTCTTTTTTGATAAATATATAAAATTGATGCAAATTCGGTACCCATGCCAATTAAAGTCACGAGCCTTTAAAAAAAGATATACAATTTTACCTTTTTTTAATAAAAAACATTTAAAATGACATTTACCAATAAGAAAAATCAAACGCATTAATCAACTTCAAATTCCTTTAAAACGATCGTTCATGCATATATTTAATAGATAATTGCTTTGAACATATATTTAAATTAATAAAAATTCTCTATGAAAAATTCGTCTGGAAATATAAAAAAATTGGAATGAAAAATCTATTTTTTTTGTCTTCTTGTGCCGGTCTGTAAATTTTTGGTCTGTAATTTATATACTTGGAAGATGTTGTATCTTTAGAAGGAAACTTTTTAAGCATATGGTTTTTAAATATTATTTGTTCTTTTACAAGCATTTCGTTTGACATACATTTTTTAAATTTACGATTATTTATTTTATTGACTGAAGTAAGTTTGACGTCATAGGTGTCAATAAAAGGGTGTCAAAAAATTTTTACATGTAGGACCGGGCCACATGTAAAAAATTTTTGACATCCATTTTTGACTTCTTTGTTTTAACTTTCTTTAAATTAAAAATCAATAATCAATAATTAATTAACTTTTACGGTAGATTATTAAGACATAATTAATCAACACATGTACATATATTTTATA